TTTTACGAAGAACAATGTCAATGATAAGTTGCGATGTAATGACTTTGTTGAACACGGTCGAATCATAGTTATTATTAGTTTATAACATCGAAGCTTAAAATGATAGTACCTGTTTTATTTCGCTTTTAATTAGAAAAACGTTATAAAGCTATTTTAAATCAACAATTTTTAATGATTGTAAATTTTTCGTTCTTTTTCTTTTGACATTCCAATTTTTTTTATTGCTTAAAAGGAATTAATAAATCGATGTCGGAATACTTCCTTAACTCTAAATACATATTTTCTGTTATATATGTGCTTATATAGAGAATATATAAGACTAAATATATTTTCTTAGAATAAATTTATATCTGATTTTTTTTCTGGGACAACATAAAATTAAAAACACATTTTTATTTTTACAATTATCTTTATCGGATGAACATTACGTTTGTGAAAAGTAAATTCAAAGAAAAATGTACTATCGCATTGGATACAAGATATTTATTCACATATTTGTCTCTTTTCCTTTATCGTATACTTTTTGGTAGCGAAAAGAACTCTGTCATGTCAGACATATTAAATAAATGTTAGACAGTACTCGCTGTACAGTTCGTATACTTGGCAATTTCAACTTCCGGAAAATGACGCTGCATGGGAAGGCAGTCGGCGAGGAAGGATCTATCTGGGGAACATAGTCTACTACACTTTATCTCCTTCTTATAAATGAAACAGGTTATTTATTATCCAATAAAGAGACACTCCTGGCACGCGGCACCCCACTGGGTACTTTACGGGGGTGGCAACCCCTGACGTGTAAATATCGAGGTTTCTCTGCGTCCCTCTCCGGAGACCACTGTACAGCATTCCATCTTTTACACTAGTTTTCGACAGCACATATTCCACATACCGCATGAGAGAATCTCTAGTTAGAAGGAAGGAAAGAAGTCCTTGGTGGCCAATTTTTCGATCAATTATTTTAACATTCTGATCTCATGAGTCTACTTTGTGCGGTCCAATAAATTAGCGGTTAACAGCTCAATACTAAGTATCTATTACTCAAGTTACTTATAATAGTAGAGTATTAATTATTATCTTGTTGAAAAACAGAAGTTGTAAAATACTTAATAAGAAATCCAGTCCTATATTTTTATTTAATATTTAGTAGTTCTTTTTATGTTATTATAAAAAACAACATTTTATATATCTATTCAAATGTATATATGATAATTTTCATTTATACTTTTTACTGGTAATTTGTTTCGTACTTTTTATTCCGGAAAAATCACTTGTAGGCACACAACGATACGATTATGTTAAATTTCCATTTTTCTAAGTTTTGTACAGATCTTACCTTCCGGATTCATTGTCAGATGCGCTTTTATGTACTGCGGCACAAATGAAAAATTGTTGTGAAGCTAAGCCGTACGACAAAATGGCCTTCATTAAAACTTTGTACAGCTTTATGGAGGCGACTAGCCCGAGGTTGTTTTGCACACAGTAGTGAGCATGTTGCGTTGAAACCGGGCAACGAAGCAAGCTGATATAGTCTATATCGCTGTAGATTGCGAGATATGAAAATCCGGGATTATCAAACGCTTTGCCTGCCAAGCATGCCTGAAAGACGCGACAATTTAATCACATGCACTGTAAAAAGATTCGTAAAGCAACCTACTATGCGAAGTACGATCCCTTCGACTTTCTTGAAGCCATGATTTTCAAGGAACACATCCCGAGCATACGCTCGCATTCACGTACACACGCGAAAACTTTTAACGAAGTTTCCAAAACAGCTGATTGATTTTCTCTTAACTCGAGCTCGAGTTATTCTCAGAAACGTGCAACGTATCTTGATTATCGTTTCAGAGATTGACTGAAAACAGCATATATTATTTCTATCATCTTTACAGATAATTAAAATAATAAAACTGACATATAATGCTATCATGTTGATGTATAATGAATCAGGATTTTTAGTAAATTGGGATGTAACAGTAAATTGAAGAGGTCTTTGATCCATTTCACTTCAATTTATTCAAAATCCTGACGTGCTTTGCAAATTCTGTTCGTAACATAACATTCTGTGCACAAAAATCTTCGGAGTATGTATACTATGAAATTTTGTAGAGAGAAAGAATTGACTTTGTCGAATAATGTAATTGGAGAGAATGTACAGGGTGGCGCACAAAATGTGTCATACTATTTAATTATCTTATTAAAACTATACTTGTGGATTGATTTTTTAACTGTATGAGTAAATTCTCGAGAGAGTTCGTGGAAATTCTGTTAGGTGTGGCATCACGAGTTCGAATTGAACGATAAAAACGCACACTTGTGAAATGGCGGATAACGGACTTAAAATGTTGAGCATAAAATGAAAGTTGTGTTGTTTTTTTGGAAACAAAGATTGTGATAGAAACTCAGAAATGAAATGAGGATGTTTCGTTCATATTATGCAGGCGGTTATTTACATAATTATTATATTTATAATTATTATAAATTATAATTTATTAGAGACAATTTTCCAGACTTAGTGATTAATTCTATACAAGTTCTGTATTAATTAAAAAAATTAATGTTTATGTAAAGCAAGTATAGTGTGACATTTCGTGCACCACCCTGTATTTCACGAACTATACGTCTTCACCTCTGTTCAACTCTGACTGTGTGAGCAAATTTTGTAATTCGTGGAAATTCCGTTAGGTGTGATGCCACAGTAAAAAAAAATCGATACTGTACAAGTATAGTTTTAACTAAATAATTACATGGTACGGCATTTCATACACCACTCTAAATGATGATACAGGTGATTAAAAGTAAGTCTACTAATTTAGGAATTGTTGTGGAATTAGTAGAAAAATTTGACATGACATATTTCAACTGGAATAAAATAGCAAATTAAGTCAGAATAAAATGAAAGTAATTTTGCAAAATTTGAAATTTAAAAGGAAGTTATCGAGCATAAAGGGAAACTTTCTTTCGCAGTGAATTAATGATTGCAGTCCTTCGTAACAGTGTCATTCGGGTCTTGCGCTTGGGAAGGACATGCAAGATCATCTCTTCAGGATTATTTCGTCACGGATGCTTCGCTCTTCTTATTTCCTAATTGATCCTATTATTAAGACGTCTTTCAAACAAGTTAGATTTCATGCACCGACGCTTCTCACGGGATGTTCATTTTGACTAAACGGTACCTTCTGTCAATTCTTCACGAAAGAATTCTCGTTGTATTCGACAGAATAATGCTTTTCCCCGAATCGTGTCGAGTTTTAGCAACTTCTGAATCCGTCGCGATCTTCAACCGAATTTTCTTAAAGGAAGGTACGCAAGCTTCCTACCACTCGGATAGACTTCTTCGTCGTTCTCCATTGCCTTGTATTCTCACTATCCAGACACATTCTAGTATTTTCACGGATTGTGACTTATCCTCGACGGAAGCAACGCATACCTTCTATGCAATCCTCTTTCTCGGAGAAAGCCAAGAGAAGCCAAGAGAAGCCAAGGTATAAGGCATGTCTGCATCTTAAGACGGCGAAAGGAATTTCGAAAAATTTGATAGCTATCTGTAACCAGGATCACATCATAGTTTACGACGAAAAATTTCCATTTAATCGTGATCATCGATGTTATATCTCGCTAAAGAATTTCGAGGAATCGTAAAATGATAACATAATTTTCCATATATAATTTTTGAATATATTTATCGAAATAATACAAAGTATAATTACAAAGTATTATTTTGTCAAGAATAATTACATCATAGTCACCTAAATCCACACATTGAAATAGACTTTTGTCAAGAATATATGTATATAAAATATTGACTGAGTTATCTTTTTTTTCCTGTTATCAGACTAGCGTTAGATTTCCTTTTGGACTTTTATCCGCTTTTCTCATTCTGCTGTGTAACTCTTACACGAATCCTATCTCCGTATTTTTCTTCACCCTTGACGGTCCCTTACTGAGCTCTCGGAAGTAACTCCTACCGGGCCGTTATACACTACGAAACATCCAACCTTGGATCTTTCTTGGTATCTTCCTCTTCTAATATTTTCCGATACAGCTACATCTTGACGTTGAGCCAAAGTCGCACGCAATATGTAATACATCCAATTTCTAGTTTTCTCTGGCCAATTCAACCAATTTCATTTAATGTCGCACTGTTAGAATATCTTACGGCAGATACTATCCAATCGTAATATATGTTTATATATATGAATATTTCAAAACGAAAACTATATATTCTAACAACAGATATTGGAAACCAATCGAAGAGCAAGTATCTATGTAAATTTAAATATCTATGCCATAATATTTCCCTATAGAGATAACATTTAATTTTTTGTTCATTCTAGGTAATTAAAAGAGCAGATTGATTCAAATTTATTATAATATTATTTATGATGTAATAATAAAATCTCTAATAAGCAATTGAATTTATTAAACAAGAATGTTGACTAATTATCTATTGGATAGTAGTTTTAATAAATGTATAAAAAATTTATTCAGTGACGATTCATAGCCGGAAATACTATTCCGAGAATGACGAACGCCATCAAATGCTAATGGATTCCGCCAGGGGTAATTCTGATCCATTATCTCGCTTGTAGAGCGGTCTGTTCACTTTATCCTTTTGTTTTCTTTCGCGTTCTGTTTTTTTTTTAACCGACTCACTCTTCTCTTCTACCATTCTTTTTCTTTAATTCTCCAATTGTTCGTGGTCTATGATTCATTAAGTAATTTAAGTAATTTCACACTGGTTTGTATGTGAGTGTCATAAAATTCTTCAGTAATATTTAAAATCACAGAATAACAATTAATCTTATTACAATCGGTACGTACGATATGAAAAAGTAAATTAAAAACATAATTGTTAGATTTTTACAAAAATAAAATTATTTTCCAGAAGTATCAATCAATATTTTTTTCAGAACACGATACTTCATAATATGATGTGAAAATATATATAATTAATTAAGGAATTAAATGTTATAAAAAGAGTATAATTTTGTTTGTTCCAGGCTTTGGCCAGGATATGCCAGTGCACATAATAATCTTGGAACTCTCACGATAGACGATCAAGCGGAATATCATTTTCTAGCAGCTATTAACGCTCAACCTGGCCATGTAAATGCTCATTATAATCTCGGACGATTGTACAGGTTAGTGAATGATAAACACTTCTCTCCGAGAAGATGTATTATATAACATTGCAGATTATCAATTATTAAAATGATTACCAGTCTAGTTGTCGATACAATTCATGAATTATATGATCATCAATTAATTATAAGGAACCGTTGCCTCTCTCTATGTGATAAAAGTATCTCTCCATCTGCTAGTTATATCAACGAGTTATCGATCCAACGCGAGCCGCGTTTCCGACGGTAAATTTAGCATGAGCTGTAATTCCGGTGGCATGGTTAAAATTAAAGTTTAATTAACGTCTTCCTACTTGATAAATTAAAATTTAATTAAGGGCAGAAATAGGACATACGGTCGACCAGTGCGTGTATGCAACAATTTTCCGTTCATTGTGCGTAAATTGTGAAAACAAGTGATCTCATTTATTTCTCTTTCTCTTTCTGCCGAGAAATTTTGTTTGAAACCTGCACATATCCGATGAAATATTTATGCAATGACTAATTAAATATTTTTAGTTTCTCATTTGCTTTTACATATGTATATTCTATTTATATCTTTCCTTTTTTATCTGTGATTACGTAACAGTAAAAATTATAAAAACAAACATTGTCCTTGCCATTAATTTTTATTAAAAATATTTTTACATAGTATAGATAAAAAGACTTTTGACAAAGAGACATTTATTCGTTCTTTATAACATTGAATTCGATATTTAATTAATTTAGTAATCAGTCATAATTATTAACTATTTATGTAATGATTTTTCACATCAATCCTATATTAGCATAGTATATCAATTTAACAGAAAATGGAAAGTTACTTTTTAAAAATAACAAATTATCATTACTGAGTAGAAAAAGTAATAAGTTAAAAGTAATAAGTTATTAATTATCGATTTTTAAAAAAAAGTAACTTATTACAGTAATCGTTACTTAAGAAAGTAACTTTTCGTTACTTTTTCGTTACTTTTTTAAACTCGATGACCAATCATAGCGGATGGGTATCTATGATAGGGTTTTCTAGTTCCAAGCGCTATGAATGGCTTGTGTCCAATCCTATGCAAAGTAACGATAATAGTAACTGTAAAATTTGTTACCGTTACCAAAAAAAATATAACTACGTTACAGTTACCGAAAAAGAAAGTAAAAAGGTAGTTACCAGTAAGTTACCAAAAAAACTTGTAACTGTAATTTTATTACAAATAACGAATTACTTCTATTCTTTGCATTTATGTAATGTAATATTAATATATACGAGAAACAATAATACGTTTTAATATATTTTAGGCTGTTTTTATTATAATTTCGATAGTACAATTTTACAATAATATAGTATATTTATGTGTTATATAATTTATTTTATACGTGTATAATGTAGAGGAGAAGTAGTATATATTGTATATATTGTAGCATTCTTTTTACACAATAACTTGGTTAATAATCAATATTTAAAATTACTTAATAATTACATTTGTCAAAATGTTGCTCAATTGATTCTAAATTCAAAGTTATGAGACATTTATTGATTAGTTAGGATGCTATTTATAAAAATGTGACGACACTACATTATTCTCGAAGAGAAATAGGGATGATAATATGATTTTTCACAAAAATAGATATAAAAATTTGATTTAAAAAAACAGTATTTGATTACAAAATTAACAAAAAAGTAAAATATTATAGAATGTATGTATTCAAATTATGCAAATGTGCGTGTACATTGCACACATAACTTCTTCTGCTTATAGGCTGTTCAATACTAGAAATCTATTGGGTTGTTCGGAAAGTTCGTGCCGACTATCCTATATAATTTAATAAATGTATACTAAAAAAATTTAAATTTTTTGCGTTTCAATTTTCCTTCAACATCGGCATGAACTTTCCGGACAACCCAATATATATTATATATGCAATATAAACTGTAGATTAACAGCAGAACTACAATCGATTTATGGAATAATTATTTTGATATGAAGAAAGAAATCGTCAGCAATGCTTAGCTATATCAGTAAAATACCATACTTAAGAAAAACCATTACACACACACACACGCGCGCGCGCGCGCGCGCGCACACACACGCACACGCACCATTGATCATAATATCACCTTTTCCTCTGTATATTAATGTCATATTTGCGCATTAAATAAATTATATAATATTAATATACAAGTTGAAATATATGGAATGCAATGCTATACATAATATATGTTAGGCTCTGCGCACAGTAGAAAGAATAAGGAATTAGGAATAAACAATAAAGGAATTAGGAATAACGAATTCAATCAGAACCGTGATATCAGAAACCGTGTATTCTAATATATCCGATAGGTATCTGATAGGTTAATCATCGTTTATTCTTTATTTCTAATTTCTTATTCCTGCTATTGTGCGCAGAGTCTTACGCATGTAAGACGCATCACACATACGCATTACACATATGACATGCTATAATAATAAGATAACTCTCTTTGAGATACGCTATAACAGGATGATTCTCTTTGAGATAGGATAACTATATGTGCGTAGATCGTGCGACCCATGCCTTTATTTTCGTGTTAATTAGAGAAATGTGTGTTATCATTATGAATGCATTATTCATGGTATTCACATTATTTATAAAAAAAATTTAAAAATATAAAATATTTTCTATTACACTGAGAGAAAGGATTTTGTTAATTTAACAAGCCACCAATACTTTTAACCGGTGATCGGTAAATATATGACAACAATTTTTGTTGTGATTGCTGTTAGTCTGGTCTATCAATTATTAGTACAGAAGCAAACTATATAGAATCTAACTTTAGACTATAATCTTTTGGATAAACTTTAGACTCGTTTACATATAGAATTCATAGATGCTCTTGGAATCTTAAGTCGTAGGAATCCAATCAAGCACAATC